GACAAATTTAAGTGCATTCCTTTCACCTTCCTTAAAGCACAGCTTTCCCAAATCCACTAGCCTCAGCCAGCACAATCCGTTTACTTGCTTTCATGCATGTTGCGCATGCTGTTATCCAGCTTTGCTAGCAAAGAAACTCTGACATCTGAACATTTTCTTATAGCTGTAGGTACAGCCGAGTTTACCGAGAACAGGACAAGCAGTGCGCCCGACTGGAACACGGATTGCAGCTTTGCAGAGCTCCGTGTTTCATAACAAAGCCCTGCAAGGACCAACCCAGCGCAGCTCCAGCCTACTGCAGGGCATGAGAATAAAATGCTAAACTCAGGTATTGCCAACACTTGAATTATGCAAGTCTTGCAAGGCTGGGTGTCTTCAGCAGAATTGAAAATTTGCAAATAAATTTCAGTTTTCATTTAAATAAAAAAAAACCCTTAAAGCTATTTCTGCTTTCTTTTTGCTTAACCCTAGTGACTACCAAAAAAAAGCTTTAAAAGATTTAGTAGATGCACCCTAAAGGCTCAAAAACCTGGGGGAGAATAAGAAGAACCTGTTTGCCTTTAAAAGGAGTCTCATGACTTATAAGGTGGTATCTTGCTTATGGGGATGGGTGGGTCCGATTCGTTTTTTTGATAGCTCATGTTTGGCAGCAATGTTAACTTTTACTTACCTTGACATATAATTTTAATTTTTACTTCCCTACTGCAATCATGTTCTTCCCCATGTAACAGGTTCTGCTAGTGACAGGTGATTGCCAAATCTTTTTTTAGGGGGAAAAGCCAGTGCAGTTGTTTGTTTATTTATTTGCACTCAGAGTCGGTGGGGAAGATCAGCACACAACATACTGCCACAAAGAAAAGAAATCTGAGGTGGCACACTTTTGAAGTGCCTTGGGTTTTTTCTGCTGCAGAAACGGGAGGGGATATCGCAAAACATGGGAATTCTTGCAGTGGAAATATCCCACAATAAATGACACACAGTTTGGATAAGTTCTTAATTCACCCAAATCATACAGCTTCTCGCTCAACCTCAGTGACCTACTCTCTCTCTCAGCATTATAAAATGATAACGGCTTGTTCCTTCGCAGCATGGTTTTCAAGAAAGTTTTATTGTACCACGAGTATGAACGTGAGAAACTTTGCTCAATTCAGACTGCTAAGGCTTTTGTTTTTTAAACACTTCAGTAGAGTTTCAATTGTTAAAGATTTTCCTACTGAAAAGACGGATTAACCTGCTTATATTCTTGTGTTCTCAGGTCATTAAGAAAAATAATCAAGGATGCTTATAAAGTCCTCTGCAATCCAATCTCAATTTGTCATCATTAATTAGCTCAACATTGCATACAAATGAAGAGCTAACCTGATTAGACAGCATGTTTTACTGGAATTCCTACTTAAGGTCATGAAAGACTTCAGAGAGAAAATTTGTAATATTTTCAAAGTGAACTGCTCATACATATGAAATCATCCTCTCCCCTAGCAACAACTAGAGTTTCTCCTGCAATTTTGGCCAATT